GGGGGGGGGGGGGGGGGGGGGGGGGGGCGCACAACCACGTTTTGGAAGCTCCCAAACAATGGATCTGATGGACCGGACATACCAAGAAGATGGCGACAGAAGGAAGAGGGTACAACAGAAAGTTGGACGGGGCCCAGGGTACACAATGGAACGACGGATGGTTTTTCAGGCACAACGTAAACTCCCATGTTTGAAAAGGGTACAACAGCCCTGCAACACAAGTTGTACTAAAAGAAAAAGGGATGCTGAACTCTTTGGGAGCGGCAATTGCATCGAAACCCCGCACATAAGATAACATATGTGTATAGATCTTCAGACCAGTAAATGGTTGTGATGTCTGAGTGTATGCCGGTCCATTCAGCGAATCATACAACAGCGAGCAATACAGCAACGCTTTCAGTCACTTGTCTGTAGGCCTAGCAATTGTCGATCAAAGCTGTGTTGTCGTGAATCGTACGCTTGGGTTCTTTCTTGGCTAAACAACCTCGTTGCGGTACTCGCCAAATGTGCAAAATGCCGAGTCCATCTTCACCTAGAAGGCGGGGAGATACATTTGCCACTATTTTGTCCTTTTCACGTTTGGCGAGAAGGGGAGCAATGCCCTGCTCCAAGACTCTAGAAACCTGTCTATAGAATCAATACTTTACTTATAAACCTGTCTATGGAATCAATACTTTACTTATCTATGGCGGCTGGCTATGCTGACGTGGTGCAGACTCGCATCTAGATCTGAGCTCGTGTTTTTGCCTATTGAGAATCGATGTCTGGAGTTTGAACGTCAGATTTCATTTGCCTTCCATGGTGCTTTTTTTTTGGGTTCCCCACCCCCCTCCCCCCTCCCCCCCCTTCTCCCAATTGTCATTTTCTTACAATCAGGTGATTCAAAAGGTGATTGCAAAGGAAGGACTGGTTGTCCCTTCCAATAAAAAACAGCGAAAAGAAAGGTCCATTTGGGAATAACAATTGAACTGTATGATGCTGTGGCGCGGACTCAATCTACATCTGAGATGATATCTTACATATTGAGAAAGTTGAGAAACAACCATGTCTGAACTCTGAAGTTTCAACTTCAAATTTAATTTGCCTTTAAATGTTTTTCCTCCCCCTCTCCCCTCCCCCGCCCCCTCCCCCCCCCTGCACCACCCCAAATTGTCAATTACTTACAAGTAGTTGATTCGAACTTGATTCGGAAGAAAGGACTGGTTGTCTGAACTTGTCTCTAAAAGAAAAAAATTCAAAAAAGTTCAAAAAACAAAAATTAAGGTCCAATTTTGTTACTTTTTAAAAAAGGGAATTACAAATGACTAGTTGATTTATTTTTAATATTCTGAAAAACCACTCTTTTCTTTTTCACTTTGTCTGAACAGAGAAAATGGAGGAGGTTGTTGGTCTTATTTGGCAATACATCCGGATCCTTCAGAAGCAAGGCGTGGAGGAGTGGATATTTGAGGAGGTGGGTTTGAGACTGAACTCTCTGTTTGTTCAAACTCTGCTCTGACAACGACCGTCGTCAAATAAATTATCATCATCTTTGTCAATACTCATTGGAAATATTTTTTTGCAATATCTGTAGATAAAATATTCACGTGAATCAATTAAAAAGTAATAGCAATAACATGATTTAATGCATGTGTACCTGCCTCTAAAAGGGTGTGAAAGGCTGTCCTGTCCAGATTTGACAGCTACTTAATTGGTTGGGCTCAAAAGAATTATCCTTAAAAAAAAAAAAAAAAAAAAAGAAGAGTCCGTAAAGTGCAATCGTACAAGTGTATAATAGTTGTCATTTTATAGATCACGAGTGCAAAACCATTTCGTTTCATAATGCGTTAATGTTGTGAACAATTGTTCTGAGTATAGAGCTTTCACCCTATTGTCGACAACCGAATAGAAGGCCTGGTAATTATAGCTGTATCTGGACTGGAAGTTTGCCCAAAGACAGCGATAATGACTGGGCGCTCTATTCGGGTGAAGACGGTAGTGGCGAGTTGTTAACAGTTGATGCATGAAATGTTATGTCCATTTTGAGGGGGCCTTTTTTCTTGCACTTATTGGGGGCAGGGGGGGGGGAGCAGAGGGAAAGGTCGACTAAATGGCCGATAGGGTTGATAGCTTCCCCCCCACAGAGCAGGATCGATCATCAAGGAAGCCTATATCCAATTTATAAACGGGCAGAAAAAGAAAAAAAAAATAGCGAACAGAATGCCATGATCGCTTCCCCCTCAGCCGAAACGAGACGTAGACAGGGTGCAAAGAAAAAGTTACACTGACACTGTAACTGCAAAGGCGTAAACGAACAGAAGTCCCCTTTAGAGTCTAGACCGCTTTCCGCTCACGCTAAATGTAGACACAGCCAAGCCAAAAAAAAAAAAATCGTTCAAACTAAAACTATGAGGGTATATGTCTGAACGAGCCTAGACTTTTCTGCCGAACAAACAAAGAAAGTTAAGAAAAATCATGTTATTTGCTGGGGGGAAAAAAAAAGAAAAAAAGAAATGGGGTTCAGCATCCCCAAGCAAATAATAACATGCAGTTCCTTTTTGAAGGTCAGAATTTAAATGACCAGTATGGGGGACCGTGTTTTGTCGAAGTTGTTGTTTCCTCTGCCACCAAATGAATCGAACTGGTCCCCTGCCAGGCTGGTTCGTCAAAAGCAAGTCGGAGTTTATTTTTTTGCTTTGCCCCCGAACGAATCGAACCGGTCCCTGCCAGGCTGTTACATCAAAAGCATTCCTCCCTTGTTTGTATATGGGTGCAAGTTTAGGAGGAGGGGGAGTACCTTCTTCCCCCGAATACAATGTACGGTCATTACAGCTGTATCTAGACTGAAAGATGCCTCAAATACAGCTATAATGACCGTACGTTGTATTCGGGGGAAGAAGGTAGTACTGGCTGGCTAAATGGTTTAAAGTTCAAACTTCTTTTGTCGAGGTTCACAGCACAGGTGAATGATTGCTGTTACCAAAAAAAAAAATAAAAAAAATAAAAAAAATTGCTGTTACAGATTGCTTGTCCATGTACTACCGTCTTCCCCCGAATAGAACGAATGGTCATGATAGCCGTATTTGGCTCACCTTTCTGTCCAGATGCTGCGAAAATGGCCGTACGTTTTATTCGGGGGAAGAAGACCATCTTCCACCCAATAGAAGGCATGACATCGGAGCCGCTGGGCATCGCCGCACCACTCTCCAAATCAAATGGAAGGCTGTTATGTCTGTATGTAGACTGAAAGCTGGCCAAATGCAGCTATAATGACCTTGCAACGTGCGTTCTGTTGGGGGGAAGACAAGACAGCATTGCTTATGTATGTTGTATGTTGACACTGAGAAGAAGGCACGGCATCGGAGCCACTGGGCCTCCTCGCACCTCTTTCCGAATGTGCGAAAAGGGAACGAATCTTCTCCTCGAACGTGACCAGATACACCTGCCATATTTTTGTGTTTTTCACAGATACCCTCATCCTCTATCATCATGAAGTCCAAACATGCTTTTTTTTTGTCAACCCCCCTACACCTCTGCATTTCGTTTTGTTTCCCCCCCCCCACCTACCTCCCTCGGACTCCCTGCAGTTATTTTTGTTCCAACTTCTCACTAGAAAACTGTTGTTCTTGAAGGAGCGGGCAGTTTGTGAGACGAAGTTTCACTTCCGAGACATGATTCAACCGTTCCAGTATGTCACAATGCTGTCGGCAAATTTGCAGGTGAGGAAGGATTCCTTTTTCCTTCTTTCTTTCGTTTCTTAAACTTT